GTAGGGAACTGTTAAAAATGCAATTTAGTTACTATTGAACTATCAGTTTCAGATTCCCCAAATTGTAATAGAACATTAATTTATCCTTTGTTTTTTATTAATATACTGTAACAGTGCATTAAAGCTTCAGACCACTCAGAAGTTGATTGTTTTGGGCGCAATGCTTGCATTGTATGTTGTGCTTGCATGGTGAAGATCACACCTGCCCAAAACAGTACGCCCAAAACTGTTATGGAGACATAAGCAGTGGATAAAGGAAAGGTGGTTTGGTTTCAAACAGCATATGGTAGTGAATAGTAATAATATTATCAAACTGGATATGGGTATGCTCATGTGGTGAGAGAGCACAATGGGATGAGGTCCAGTTAATTCTGTGTTAATACATAGAATGAAATCTGTGGCTCTTGAAGAGGTATGATTCATCTGTTTATTAAGAAAAAAGTCTGAGTTTTAGGAAATTAAAGTTCTATTTCTGGTTTTGTTGCTGACTTTTTAGATTTGGATAGCTTTCAGGCTGCTGCTGTTTACTTGTGCTGCCCTGGATATGGAGTCTTAAATCATGTATAATGTGCATTGAGGTTCTCACATAGATGGGGCTATAGTATAGAGGATTACTGTTGGCTGTCCTGAAGATTTTGTTTGTTGCAGATAGGTAGAGCATCACCTACATAAACAATAAGGTTTGTTAATGATAGTAGTGTGAGGCATGTCTGGCTCATTGATGGGATGACTGCTAATCTGATTTAACTAATTCAAAGTTTAATCCTTCTGAAACTTACAGTGAAAAAGAGGAGGAACTGGCACAGACATGACTACACAGAGTTGGATGATGGTTCCAAACCAGTGCAGGCTGGAACACGGACCTTCGTTAAACAGCTGCGGGCTCGCTCTTTCCCAAGGTACAGAAGCTTACTTACACATTTCAGTGAAAAAATTAGAAAAACTATGTCAACTGAGTGTGTCTTAGGGCAGGTGACTAACATTTCTCTGCTTCAGAAAATGAAGGTCAAGGATGACTTCCTCTTCCTTTCAGATCCCCTGTGCCCCATCCCTGTTTCAGATGGATACATTTGCCTTTTCATGCAGTAGCTTCCCCTGTTCCATTTGCACTGGGATATGTTGTCTGTCAGGGCTGCTACAGGGTGGTGTGGCAGGTTTTGAGTTTTTGGAGTTTTGTTTGTTTGATTTTGTGTGGGAATGGAGGCAGTGGCATGAGTGGTTAGTTTTTGTTTTTCTTTTTTGTGCCTGAACTGTCAGAATATTGTTTGTCTATTCCCCTAGTCCAGGAATAGTCCTCAATTTCATTCCAAGTAACATAGAACATTTATGTGAGCTGGTAGTATCTCCATCCTCACATGCTTTAGAGGAAAGTGGAGAAACATGGTTGTACTTTTATCCTGACCTGTCTGTGATTGGCTATGTCACTGCAACATAATGACTTATAATCCTTCTAAAGGAGGTGGTTGTTGTTCTTGTTACCAAAATGTACTTTAATGCCTTCTCTGAGTATTCCTTTTCCCCATCTTCTTAAATTACTGTATTCAGTCATATAGAAGATGTTCAGTCATATAGGTGACTATGTGTTCCCAGGTTATGCATGTCAGTAAATGTTTCTTTGTTGGTTTAGGTAATTTTCATTGTCTTTTAGTTAAATGCTTAATATAATAGTACTGGGTCCACTTCTTTCGAATTCAAATGTAGCCGTTCCCATCTGTCCTCTCACAAACTGTGACATAATTTTTTTTTTTTCAGTAATACTTGGTGGATGCATTTCTACTAATATTCCATTCTTTCTTTCCACCAGTGCTGATGAAGTCATTTTGAAAATGCATGGAAGCCAGTTGACACAAAGATACTTGGAGAAACATGGGTTTGACGTTCCCATTATGGTTCCTAAATTAGATGGTCTGGGGCTCCGACTTCCTCCGCCAACTTTCTCCGTTTTAGATGTGGAACGCTATGTAGGTAAGAGTCGCTCTGGGGTACTTAAAAATGATGCTGTCTGTAAATTAAAATAAATATTCGCATGATTATAAGAGGTTCCAGGGTGCTAAATACATATTCTAAATTGAAGACTAGCAGAGAGTAAAATGAAACCTTTTTTTTTTTGTGGTGTTTTTTTTTTTTTTTTGGTGTGTGTGTGGTAGATATGTGATAGGAGTACAGACTTACTTTTTAACATTCAAACATGTTGATTTTGGTGCAAGCTGAACATTTAATGCTGAACATTTTCTGCTACGTGTTGTAAACCAATAAAGTATAATGACTTTTAACATTGTTCTCTTTGTGGGAATTGAATGAATCACTCCTATGATCGATAAAGTTTAATCATTGGTTAGGATATTGCAAAACTTAGTGTTTCGGACTCAGTAAATTGGCATTTCTAAATTAAATCTTTCTTCCTGGACAATTTCCTACCTTGGCTTCCCTTGGCAGGAGAGCCAGAGCTTCCCAAGGACCATATCTTTCTTATCAGATCTCTTGCCAGTCTGTAATTGTTTCAGCCTCATGTAAGTGTGCAGTACAGAGAAATAGAGACTAAGCCAATTGCAGCATGACATTTCCTGTAACACAGTACAGTTGAGAAGTCTGTATATGGTTGTGTCTGTGTTCTTGTGATAACCTAATATAATGATGTGTGCTGAAAGTAAGTTTTCTGTCCATCAGTGTTTTACAATGGCACCAGAATGTAAGGAATACGTAGTATATCAAATGTTGTTCTCATGATGATGATTATAAACGGTAATGTGTTCTGCTTTAAAGTGTAGTTATCATTTTGATATTTCTGAATATTTTCTTTTGGAATACTGCTTCTTCAGATTCAGAGAGAAACTGATCTTCTCATTCTCATACATATATTTTGACCTGCCAGGTTCTCCAGCTTAGAAAAAAAAAATTAGAATGCCACAGATTTACCTTTCAATTATTGAAATTAAAAATAAGAAAACTGAATAAATACTGTTCCAACTGGAATTTATCGAGATGGTACTAACTTGCAATTTTAAAGTAACTGTATTTATAATGTGCATCTAGATGGATTCCAAAATTAATTGTCGAATTTGGCCGTTGTATGACTAAAAGGACATAAAACAATTCCTATTATAATGTTGTTGTTAGTCCTTTCTCTTGGCTAAAGGTTGCTTCTTGCTTGTCTAGTTCTACAGATGTATCACTTTAAAATATGTGGTATGTAAACCAGTCCTTGTTGTCTTCAGAAATGAAACACACTCATGACAATTATTCAGTGAAGTTACTGTGTGCTTAAAAGTTACGCATGTATATAAGGAGCATAAGGGTGGCCTTATAGAATGTTTGTGAATGAGCACCTGCATAGTTTTTAACCTTAATAACTTACCAATTATGGCACAAACTTAGTTGAGTTTGCTAAGAATTACAAGCTGTGAGCAGTAAAATTTATTATTTGTAAAGAATTCTCAGTGGTCTTTGGCTTAAATACTCAAGTGCTGTGGTGGTGATCAATAGGAAGAGTGAAGAATAGAACTGCCTTGATAACTTTATGCTAGTCTTTCCCATTGGAGCCACAACACCCCTGCCCTTTTTTTCTTTTTTTTAAAAAAAACAGTTGCAGTCATTCTATACTGCTCTTTTTGGTTTACCACAGGAAAGAGGATTTATTTTTAGAGTGTTTTCAGTTCTGACCTTAGCTGATTATAGCAATTAAAGTTAGACCTAATAAAAAGTTGGTTTATACTGATCTGTCTCTGTTTCAAGAATATACTGATAGTAGTGGATTTTTTGTGCAGAAATGTTTTGATAAAGGCTGGAAAAAAGTTAAATTTCTCTTAAACACTTTAAATGGCTGTTTTCATCTGTGATAGGTTTAAGAAAGTCATCCTATTTTTCACAGGTGGCGACAAAGTGATAGATGTAATAGATGTAGCAAGACAAGCAGACAGTAAAATGAAGCTCCATAATTATATTAAATATTTCACAAATCCTGACCGACCAAAGGTATTGAATGTGATCAGCCTGGAATTCTCGGACACAAAGTGAGTATTGACTTCAATTCCTCGAACATAGGAAGTGGTTTTCACTAAGCTGAACAGTATGTGTAAGAATATAATGTCTGTAGTGGGAAAGATACAAGGCTGCATATTTTATATAGACAGGTACTGTGATGTAATGCAGGCATGAAACATTTTTATTAATTCATAAGTAATAACTTTGTAGGAAAGAAAAAGGTGTGCTTACTCTTGATTATATTTATGGTTATTTTTTGTTTGTTTTTTTTTAAAAGGATGTCTGAATTAGTGGAAGTACCAGATATTGCCAAAAAGCTTTCATGGGTGGAAAATTATTGGCCAGATGATTCTGTCTTCCCTAAGCCTTTTGTTCAGAAGTATTGCTTGATGGGTGTCCAGGACAGCTATACTGATTTTCATATTGATTTTGGAGGAACGTCAGTTTGGTACCATGTTCTCTGGGTATGAATGCTTCTTGTTTTATGACTTTATTCAGCGTGCAGCCTTCTGCCATGGCATTGTCACCTGTATGAAATTTTGTGCTTTGAAAGCCAGGGGAGGAGCTTGAAAGTGAGTTACTGATTGTTGGTGTTGCATTTTTATGCTTTTATTTTAGCATGCTGTTGGCGACTTCTAGACTGTACTTGATTAACTGATCATTTTAGTAGACTGGTAGATGATATAGTGAGGTTTTAGTATGAAAAAATGAACTGGATTAAAATCATTGACGTACTCAGCTTTTTATTCTTCTCACAAACTTTGACCATGTATGCATCTTAGAAGAGGTGAAGTGGTGTCATCTGATGTTCTCTCATTTGGCATGTGTGCACGTATCCATAAATTATTTATAAAAGCTGGAATTTTTTATACTTCAGTGAAAAGGTTTGGTTCGTTTGTTTCTTTTACATCTCAAGACACGAACTAGTTAGTGTACTGTTGACACTGTTGGTGGATTACAGTTGTGAAACACCAGGGCTAGGAAGCCCTAACATTCCATAGTGGAAATATGGAATACTTACCATTTGGATCAATTTGTTACTTCATTAGGAACGACTGAGAGGTTGTAGTGTGCCTCCAGGAGGACAGTAATTTATTTATTTGATATTTTTGTTTAATAGGGTGAGAAGATATTCTATTTGATCAAGCCCACTGATGAAAATTTGGCTCTATATGAGTCTTGGAGTTCATCTGTCACCCAGAGTGAAGTGTATTTTGGGGACAAGGTTGACAAATGTTACAAATGTGTTGTGAAGCAAGGACACACTTTATTTGTTCCAACAGGTAAGATTTACCCTTATTACTAGGACTTAGCATGTTTAATCACCAGGAATTAAGGATGTCCTAAAATGATTGCATTATCAACACTTGGTTTCTCCTAAAATTTTGGATAAGAGAGAATAATAAAAAATTTAGAAATTTAGATTTTCAAAGCAAATAATTAGCTTTTTAGATTGCCTGATAGTAATATAAGTTGTCAGGGAAGGAAAGGATGTTTGTTACTGAATTATAAGACAACAAATTAAAGCTTAATTTGGATATCAGGAAAGTACTTCCAATTCATAGAACACATACAGTTCACCATTTGATAGATATCGAGACTGAATTCTTATATTAATTTCATAATACAATTTTGTTTTTACAGCTTTTGAATATCGTAAGACCTACTAGGCAAAATTATTACAAAACCATCACATAGACATCTAGATGATTAAAAATAAAAGTTGAGTGGGGTTTTTTTGTCCCTTTTTTTTTTTTCTTTTCTCATTTTTTGCCTTGTGTTAGCAGGAAATCTAAACTGTGGTAGAGCCTGTGAAGATTCTCTGAATCAAAATGAAAGTGTCCTGAAATAAAATTGAAGAATATATAATTGAATTCATATGTCAATTCCTTTTATTAAAAATAAAAGGTTATTTGCAGATAGAGTTTCTGAAACTGTAGGATTCATAAATTCATGTCAGCAGCTTCCTTTAAAAATGATGCGGAGGCTTGGTCTTTTCTGATTTTCTTAACAACATTTCTTGTAGCTGTCACCTAATAGCATCTGCTAAATTACGGAAGATATATATAAATTTAAGAAATGAGAAACACTAAAACAATTAAACTTCTTTATTTAAAAAAAACACACGAAAATCCTCCAAACAAAACACACCGCCCCCACCGCACCCAAAACTCCCAAATACCATAAACTTAGAACAAACCATATTTTGCCAATAAAGTGAGTGCCAGTTAGTTTCTTGTGTTTTCACTTATTCAACCCATCCATATAAATACTTTTTATTATTTTATTATTAAAGATTTGTATTGGGTAGTATCTTCCCTTTTGAGGGGAGGAAGCTTTAAATACACAAGAAGGAAAATGGTGCATGATTCTACTTCTGGAATAAGCCTTGAAGATTATGTTGAGTACCTTATTCTGTCATGGACTTTCTAAACAGGCTACTACGTTTTTCTCATAGCTCAGTTCTCTACCTGTGAGGTTTAGGATTTACTGTTCTAGTTCTTGGCTCATTCAGAATAAATACTACATGGTGAGGAGCTATATATGCACTTAACATTCCTGAACGCCCAGAGCTTTTTAAAACTATATATTTTTTTGCAAGAGGTGGAAAATTAATTTTCCATTTATCTAAGTGTAAGGTCATACATCTATGAACAAAGAATGCAGAACTACAGAATGAAGAACTTTATCGTGACCCACAGATCTTTGAAAATGGTTAACTGCTTCCCAAGTCATCAACTGAATCTGAGCCCTTGCTATAATGTGGGCAAAAAGAAAAGTATCATAAAATGATAATTTTGAATGTATATGTGTATTTGTGTGTGTATACACATAAAATGATACTTTACACACATATTTCCATGAATACGTATGATGGAGTATAGTGTAAGAACCATAAATTAAACTAGATTTCAAGACAGGTGTTTAAAAAATGGGAAATTCTGTAAGACTGATCAAAGGTTTTTTTTAAAACCTTGATCTCTATTGAAAACTGCTTTTGCTGTTCCTGCTTGCACTGTTGGTAGTGGATGTAGTGGATGTTGTAATTATTTTATAATCTCTGAAATACCTTCAGAGTAGACTTCTGATTTAAAATTAATCTTGCATGTAGATGAATAGCACCTACTGCAGGGCTCTTGAGAGTTATTTAAATATGATTCAAGATACTCTGTGTGGTCTACACCAAATTTTCTTGCCTTATTATGTAGACCTTGGTCAAAACTACAGCATAAAAATAAGTAGGAATGTAAAAAAACTAAACCCTTCAGTTGATACCAGTATGCCATAAAAATCCTTGGTGCTGATGCAACAGTGAGGAGGCTTTGTTGTCAGTGTCTGGGGAGACGTGTGTTTTGAGGACTGAAATACACATATTCCTTGGAGAATCATAGAATCACAGAATCATTAT